GTGCAAAGCTGTGTTCAAAGTGATTGAAATCTTGGTTTGGAGTTTCTTTGTTTGGTTATGGAGACGTCTGGCCGAGTGAGTTGCTATCAACTTGACCTTTCCAGGCTCTGAAGAAGGCGAAATTCGCCGAAACGTCAGCTTAATCGTGAACAAAGAACAATAACACCTCGCGTTTGCTCAAAAAAAAAATACGAACAACATATAGAGATTTTAAAAAGATTATGAGACGAGAAATATAAAATATGCGAAGACAAACAAGTTTCTAAGCACGGATGAGTCGAAAAAGTCGGAAAGCTTGTCCGTGGTGTTGGCATGACTGTTGCGAGATGAGCCAATTTAAGGGATAAAAACATCGAGTCGAACCCAGTAGAGTGGAGCACCGCTTGAATGGAGAACTTCACTTGGCGTGCCACCATGTGCCTTTGATACCTTTTACGTGCCCTTTTATACTAGGCGGATGCATGTCGTTTCCCGCCATTCGGTGTGATCTCCAATTTGGCGGGTAATGCTCCATGCGACAACGACCGTCCACTTCGCGAACGTGTTTCACCTGCTTACTCTTGGTTTTCTGAAAGTGATGATTGGATTAAGTTAATAGGATTCGTTACTTTCCGTTGAGTGCGTGATCCTGGTCAAAAAATATAGCTATGTTGTGAGGAGCATTTCATTGCTGTTGCTGCATTTCGGTTGCGGTTGCTGCAATATGCTTATGGTTCGGATGACGCTCAACAGACTTCCAGTAAGCTACACCTGCTGCATTCTGATAGTTATGGCCGTACTTTTGTCGCCATTTCTTTAAATTGAATCTAAAGGCGTATGCTTTCGTTCGTTGTAATGTTACATTTTGATTGCGTTGTGACCAATCCAATAGTTCTTGATCATGTCGGTTGGTCGTGAGTATTACGGTGCCGCCGTCATCTGTTTTCATTTTCGATGGCTGATTGAGTAGACTGATTTTATTTGCTAATACTAGTTGTCTAATTAATCTCCTTTTCACCAATTGTGTTTCTTTATCTCTATCTTCTTCACAACGGTTTACCGCCTCTTCGTGGATCGGAGGTGTTTCTGGGAGTCGGGCTGCGATGTACAGCGGGGTGATTTTTTCCCTTGGCAGGGTCTCCCAAGCTGAGGAGTCCGGCGTTTCCATCAGGCAGCATAGCTAAGAGTAAACGAATACGAAGATCCACTACTGTGCTGGTATCAAAGGCACTTGGTGGCAAATCACTCTCTGATCCGCAAGAGCTGCGGCTGCTTGTGGTGATGACTAACTGGGGTAGAATTTGGTTAGACTGACATCGGGATTCCAGAGAACTACAATGGCTAAACCAGGAAATCTCCTAAAAATGGAGTTTTTACTGGGGCCCGCACAACTGGTGAGGACGGGCCATCCAAGTATCCAAATAAGTATCTCTAACTTGTTTAATCCACTTGTTCCGTAGTCGTTCAGTTTTTGATCTGTGGTTACTTTTGTAGGAGTTAGGTCGCCTGCTTGAATTCCCCAGCGGATCGTTTGGTAGCTACGTAGTGAAGTTTAGAGGTTAGGGTCACTTCATCGTCACGAAAAGATAGCATTCCACTAACGAGACTAATATAAACGTGTTTGAAGCATACATAATGGTTAAAGGTTCTCAAAATTCGTATTTTTCGATGAGAAAACTATATCGTTAAGAGAGAACCACATTTTCAATTCTTGCTACATATTTTTGTCATCAAAAGGGCGCGTGTGGCGTAATGGTCGGAGGCCTCCTGCAACGCACACATCGCCCACCAAGCTTTCCATCCCTGCGGCGTCGGCAAACTGGCGCCAGAGTTGTGCGGGAGGAAACTAGCACTGGCTCGATACATCGGTAGGTCACCGCGAGTTATTGTGAAGGCCAAATATGTATTCAATCACCTCCGAACGATGCATAATGAAGTCGAATGCATGGCACATATCTCACGGGTTGATCAAGGCCGACAGCTTTAACCTTTTATCGTTTTATCGCCGATATTTTAGTAGTGGAACTCAAAACTTCTTATTTCACATTTCATTTCTTTCACATTTCTTTCTTTCATTATTTCATTTCTTTTTCTTCTTAACTTCTTGTACACCGTTCTATCAAGCGCAATTCTTCGCTTTCACTGTAATACACACTAGATCGGGTCTATCAGACTTCACTAACTTGGAAACGTTCTTGGAACCCAGGCGCATTGACTCTATTTCCTTCTAACGATAACTTCCTGCACTTCGTGAATTATGAAAGAATTGGCCTCCTATTCGGCTTCAGACTGTTCTTACTTATGCGAGTCGAACTTCTTCAGTTCTTGCATTAGAATCCGACAAAGTATTTTTCATGTCTTTGTAGTGAGAATAGTTTCACCACCTTTCAGAAATCGACTTTCCTTAAACAATGAGAAAACTAATAAACGAGTTTATTGGATGGTTGAACTAAGAAAGAATGGCTACGCATAACCGACTCGGAACAACTCGACTCTCTATCTGAAGGGCGAAGGCGCCGAAACGTTATCCGAATGAAGTTCTTACTAACCATGTGTTATCTTAATCATCCGAGGAAGTAGTATTGACCACGTTCACGATGATTTTATTGCTGTGTTAATTGCACAAAGGTTTTATCATTCAGCGGAAACAAGGCGAAATTGGGTATGGATAGACACCTGGGCCATATATTTTGCATTATTCGACCAACGAACACATTTTAGCATAATCATGACGGTTTAATATCATCGTTTTCTCTCTTAGCAATCGCGACGTTGTTAAACAGCATACGTTTACTTCCATACAATAAAACACATGCAACACAATCGTAGTTGACGTTTCAGCAATATCGCCGTCTTCAGAGCCGTTTTTACATGCATTCCACTGAGGAAGAGCCGCTGATCAGAGTCGCATATGGCAGATGACAAGTCGAGTATTGAGTCGTTAACCACAATCGACTCTGATCAGCGGCTCATCCTCAGTGGAAGGCATGTAAAAACGGCACTGAAAAGGCGTTACTGCCGAAATGTCAGCAACGATCGTATTGTATGTGTGTTATTGTATGGAAGTAAACATATGCTGCTTAACAACCTCGTGATTGGTGAGAAAGAAGACGACGAATTTATAATCCGATGTCGAGGTTAATAGAAAGTCGATCTTGGGAACCATAACGGCTTAGTTAAGCTTAGTGGTGCTGACTTATCAATATTCAAAAAGAGTGAGAATTATAGTTAGATTAGAGTCCCTGTATTCAAACAAAAAGAAAAGAAGGAAGTACTATTTTATTCATGCACAGTCAAAGGAGTCACAGAATTTAGAGGAAGATAGGAAGAATCGTTAGCTTGCACAGTCCAAGTACTTCCCTTTAACACCGTTTAATATCTTTATTTGTATAAAAATCTCTCATTCACAAAAAAAAGTACGACAGCGAGCAGTACTCCCATCGAAAATGTGTATAGTTGGAAAAATAGTGCTTCAAAAATGTTGGTAATTTTCAACCACAAAAAATAAGACGCGTGGTGAATGAGTTTCAGGCTTCTACGTAGACTATGAAGTAATGCCGTATTAGTTAAGTGAAATTAAGGAAAGTGGCTGATGATCTCCTTGACGAACTGCGAAGCTCGAATCCCGGCATCTTTGGCCGTTGTCAAAACCTCTTCATGGGAGACTTGTTTCGAGGTGTCGGCATCCAGATTGGCTCTGTTAAAATAACACCTTATGAATTATCAAATCTACTCTAAATATTCTTATTATTTCTACTTTAGAAATCATCGATACGTAAGATCATTGCTTCCTTATTTTAGGTGAGGTACAATGAATTTCTTGGATATAAGATAAAGCTAAAGTTATACTAAGCAAGAAGTAAGATTAAGCAAGCATGTATCGATAAATTTTTCAACACATCTCACAGTAAGCTCTCAATAACCATGTAGCTTGGGAGTCTAAGGACTTGGCAGACTTGTAGAACAGGCGCAACGCATAAAGCGATATACGATTTTTCAGAAAGAAGACTCAAGACTCAAGAAGACTTTAGTAGAGCAAACAAATTTTACAATTTTTAAACCATCGCAGAACCGCAAGTATTAACAATTCAAACATCTTAACCAACACCTACCATTAAAATAATAATGTCTTGTCCTGAAAGACGAAATCAGCTTGTTCAACTACTCTGCATATGAGCCTCCACTCCTTCCCTCCCCACTCCCCCCTCCCCGAAAAAAAAGAAAGAAAAAAACTGGTTTGTTCCTGAAGGCAACCACAATTCCATCACAGCATACCAACGAAACTATGTCTTGACAGCAATGCATGAAGCCCTAGTATTCTCTTAGTAGATTGAAAAATGTTCACTTGGAGATGAGCAGGCAAGGCATTTTGTTTCAAAGAATTTTTTTATGAATACTTCAATTTTCATTCCCTTTCATTTTTTCATTTCCGAACCATTTTCTACATCTTTTACGGACATTTGTGAAAACATATATAAACCTATTCTTTGTAAGAGTGTTATGCTAAGCATGTGGTCGCGAACGTTTCACAGCTGAAGAAGAAAACGAAGCCGCAGTTACAGTGGAGAAAACTGGTTGTGTCTCGAATTTCAGAACGCCATTGCCATTTAAGTACTTCAAAAAAACGCACATGTTTGTAATTAGAGAGAATCCGAGCACTTTAATACCACACTGCCGCGCGACAGTCACTTCATGACACGTGGACATACCGAGAGCATCTCCTCCCACCGTTTTATACATTGTAACCTGAAAAGAACAAAGACTAACAGTGTAATACCACTGTCAAATCATTCCAATAATAACTTGTTCCGTTATCAGCTCTGTTAGATGAAAACGGGGTCGTCTTCTACTATAACAACTGACGTGCTTAGGTCGGTCAAGAAGTCTCAGTGGAGTCATTGAAATCGTTGCCGTCATAGAACAATCATACTTAAAAGTCCGTAAGCCATCTTCGGAACCATGAAGCTCGACAACTGGTCGACAACCGTTGTAAAGACAAGGCTAAGATGGCTAACCAAAGAGAACGCGCAAATATTCTATCTCCAGAACCTAACTCACAAGCAAACTTCACATCTCTCATGTTTGATAACTGACTGGAACAAAGACAAACGAAAAGAGTTTCTGCGAGCAGCGTGACTTGTAGAGACGAGTATACATATAAGTAGCAAAATTTGGGTATCAATCTGAGATCGGGTTCTCCTATCACACCTATTTAAGCGACCCAAAAAGTTTGAGGTATATCCAGCAATATCGTAAATGTTAGACAACGGACATAACACGACAACGCTTCTGTAGCGAAGGAGCTTCACTAATTCCTAGAGTTGATCACATTCGGTTCAACGCATGATCAAAGCGTGGCTTTGCGAATAAGTATTTTTACTACACAAAGCATTAGGAAATCTTCATTTATCATTAGTTAAGACACTAAGAGACATTACTTTCCGGTTTTTTCCTTTAGCCTGCAGATTTCTATCGCATAGCGAAGTCAGAAAGTGCTCAATGAGCTCCAAGTTCAAAGAATAGTCATTTACTCACTGCTTGCTTCCTACTTTCAGTCATCTGAACATATAAACCCTACAACGTGTGAACGATGCCATTTCTAATGGGTGCTAAAAATGGATAACGTTTTTCCTTTTCAGCAGGAAGGACATCACAGAAACACTAAATGCTTTCGATTTGATAACTCACTACCTTCTGAATAGCAACAATTTTACTTCATTAAACTGCCAACGAGGATGGACAACCTATGAAAAACTTTAACGCCCACGTAAATGAAACTTAGAAAGCGAAATCACTAAATTTTGGAAGCTTCATTTTTGGTGGTTTTTCGTCACCATGGACCACTATTTGAACGGACATAACTGGTGTACCTCAGCTGGTGTCTCATATTGAGGTCCTCCTGTCATCACATAAACTCCTTCGAACAAACTCATATTGTTTTCCTTTGCAACGTCCTTAGCAATATTTCTGAAAAGCAACATTTTATCGTGTCATTGGCTTAATCCTCAACGGATTTGCAGAGTAGTAACTAATGGACTCTCTCTCCCCGCGTAGATGAAAATCAGTGGAATGAGAGAATTGGCGGCGAAGGCAACAGTGCTATTCAATTGAAGACCACGCTAACCGAAAAAACATGCTGCCTTTATCGAATAAAAGACAGGTAAAGAAAAACAACTGTAGGAAGTATTCAACTAAAGGAGTAAAAAAAAAGATAAGTCAATAATACTATACACTCAGATGCAAGAGTTTTTTCTTTCTAATTTCACTTCACTTTTCTAATGAAATGTAATGAAATTATGGTTTCTCTCCAGTTTCCATTTACCTCAAAGATTTATCGTAGGCATCATGAAGAGATACGAAGCGCTCACCGAAGCGGCTATCGTTCAATCCAACCAACGGCGAGAGGCCAGCCAGTGCTGGCGTGAATATGTGATCCTACAAAAAATTCCTCATGAACTATTTGGCTCAGTAGAAAAATGAGCACCTAATGAATGGTGTCACTATGTGATACTGAATCCCTAGACATAGCAAATTTTAATTCTCACGCCTTCAGACAAAAGTGCATAGTCGTTTGGAATTGATATCAGTATTGGCTGTCTGCCTTTTATGCTGAACCATAGAATGATGACAGAACGACATCTAATCATATTAAGTGAAAACACTAGGAACTAGGAACGCAGTCTTCACACACCGTATCAAGGTGTTACCTACTGTACGCTATTTGTGTTCCCGAATACTGATGAATGCGAACTAAGAAAAACCTACTACCGGTGCTCAGGAGTTGGGACATATCTTGGGTTCGCAAACAAAAATTATGCAAGCTTTCGTAACTTCGCCAATAGAGATGTAAAGTGTTTTTTCATGAATCGGTGAAAAATCGTCTATAAACGAAGTGGTCAATCTTGGTGGCATTGAACAAGCCAGCACTACATTCCATAACAGACCATCTATTACAATTATAAACAGAAACAGTAGGTGCGTGGAAAGGACACGGATCAGTCAAAGAAATTTTCAGTGTATTAAAGAACATTACGCGGTAATTCCGACACCATTATTTGTAGAGTTAACAGTACAGTAAAATATAACATGTGTAAGCACTTTAGGAAAGAAATCCAATGACAGCGCTGACAGAGCCGATGGAAATGAGCTTCTAGTACCAGTACCTCTAAAGAGTTTAACGGTGATTCCAGCGTTATTCCATTTCCTAGACAATCCAGTGACCTGTGTTAACGTGTTTTGCAAGCTCCGGTAAGTCCTCCTTTCGTTCCATTGTCTTGCATCCGTTACCAACGAAAATCGTTACGTCCGCGTTACTACTTTACTGCAATTTGACGATCTGTGGACTTCTTTGAGCACCGACATGTTAAATAGTTGCCGCGGTGATTCTCCCCGAAATCCACTGATCACGTTTTCAGAGTATTCCCAGGTCCTGAGATCGAAGGAAACTTTTCCAAAAAGTCTTTTAGACCTCTGCACCGTGTCTCCTCTCGTTATTCATGCTAGAGCGTACCGCGATCTCTACCACACCGGCTTCGGCGGATCGTAAAGAAGTTTGCTGCGCTGCGACTTTGGCTTTCTAGGACCATATTGAATCCTATGATTGTTCAACTGATTACTTCTGGACGATTTAGTAACGCCGACCCATTTCCGAAATTACTGCTTAAGAGTACTTGCACAATAGGCTGACTTAGGAGAGGGCAGTTTTGTTGTGGGCAACGACCAGAGCATAAATCGAAGCACAATTTACTCAAAAAATTCTCTCCTAACTTTCGTTCCTTACCCTTGTTCTGCTAAACTACTATGGAAGACGTAAGATTTTCAAAAACCCTTTCATCTTAATCAATAACAATGCAAAAAAAGGATCAAAAGGGAAACAAACCTTGATCAGCATTAGATCACCGTACATGAACTTCGGGTTGATACCACCGGCTGCGTTCGAAACAATCATTCGTTCCACTCCTAACTGGTGCATTACTCGTACTGGGAACGCACACTAGAAATATCGATTATGCTGAAAATCGCTGAACAATTGAAAATCCAGCCGGCTAACTCGAATCCACAGTAAACGGTGGTATTGATGGTTATTTCACCGAAATTTAATCCATTTAGGGTTTCGAAGAATCAGTGCAGACGTCATATTGGAGTATGGAGTGGTCTTATCAACAACAACCTTGCTATGTGTCACTAATCGTTCAGAGCCATCGAGGGATAAAATTATAAATAAAACAAAGATAAACGAGAACATATGCGCATCATAATTTCTTTACTTAGAAAAAAAAACTTTTCTTCCCATCAAATTTTCAATGTATGCATCGTTAGTAGATATAATACTTAAAAAAACAATTTTTATTTAAATCCCATTCAGTGAGTTATTTAGCTCAAACTTTTTTTCAATTCTACGAGCGTTGAACAATCCATGAGGGATGCGCCATACATTCGAGTTCATTAAGCATCGTTTGGAGGAGATTGAATGTATATCTAGCCTTTACAATTTGACGATGGCCTAACGATGTGTCGAGCCAGTGCTGCTCAATTATCAAAGATGTCACAGAGAAGGCAGCACTGCCTAGGCTTGGGTACGTTATGTACTTCTCCTCAGTGCATCCGGAAATGAAGAATTTTCCACTTGTCCGTCAAGAGTAAACTTGTCGACTGCAAAAAGACACTACCGCACAATGTCTTCTGCATGAATTCTACAAAAGAGTGGCGGATAGATATCATATTTGTATAGTGTGTGTATATATGTACTAGTGATAGACCTCCATGATCATGGTAAAATATCCCTTCATAAGTGAAATAAAAGAAACAATTGGCATTGAGTTTTTCACACTTACCCAGAACAACAACATAGGAGATAAATAATAACAAAGTTCTTAATTGAGAACTAAAGCGACTTACCAGTGCAAGGTCCATGTTGTGTTCGTACGGATGGAAACGGCCTTGCATACAAACAACACTCTTTCCAGCTATCTTTCCGAATATTAGATTACCCTTGTGTCCGACCACTGTAATGAGCTCACTATCAAACCGAATCTTTAAATCTTGTTGAATTCGAATGCTGACCATTCCCTAATGCTGTCTTGTACGTATTCGCTTTACCAGATTTAAAGAATCCGATATTTCTATCAAAATGTCAGCTAAGAGTGTAGAGATGAAATACCCTGTTTGCAGGTAAAAATCCCCTTTTGAACCAAAACAGCAGAGGAGAAGAGGGTGTGGCGACAGCCTGGGAAAGGACTAGCATAGCTACCTCGCGATTCCCGAAAGAAATACATTAAAAGTGTTGGTTCTCGTACGACTCATGACGAATATTCACCCAAGCACTCAAGTAGTTAGTTAAGGTTCTCAAGGTCTTCACATTCTAACAAAGAGTATGGCGTACATGCTTGACTGTTGTCGCAATTCCTTGTATTCTTGTTTTCCCTTCATCTTAAGGTCAATTACTTTTGAGTTCTAAGAAAATTTTTGAACATCTAACAAGTTCAAACGAATGAGACAGAAGTCCAAAAGTTGGAAATGCAAAAACTTAGGAACTGCCCATTAGAAAATAGTCAGAAATCTCAAATTTTTCTTTTGTCACCACCAAAATGTGAACTTAAAAATATCCTTGATTCAGCAGTTTGACTTTAGAAAGGGACAAAGATATACCATAATGTCCTAATAGACACAGAGTTCAGCCTCGCGCGAGCAAAACAAGCCCTCCATCCGTTCAACGTCAATAAATTGCTACTAGACTTGTCTGAGAGTATAAAAACACTGACTTTATACATCTGCAGACATCTGCAATTCACTTTGTTGACCAAATATGCATTCATTTACCGCCAAGATACGTAACTGGCTTAGACCTCTGAGGAACCAATCAACGTCAAATTCGTTTCTCTGTGTGGCAAACACTACTAAAACACTGACGAGTGATTGCTGATGGCATTGATCGCATGGTGTGGTGGTGATTGCGTTTCCCCCGGAAAGGGTAATAGCGCGTTCGTTCTCCACCGCAGACATCTGCGGTCCGGAGTTTTGCAAATATCTCAGCATCATTGTGGTTGAGTCTCATCCTGCTGTGAAAAGTTGCACTAGGCCGACGACGTGACTTCTATAGGAGTCACAAGATGTGATAATAGTGGACCTCCTGAGTTTAAAATTGGTATACCTCAGCTCATAGTGGGTTTATTAATTGTAATAAGAACTAACACAGTCCAAAAATCTTTGGCTATAGGACAAATATTCACCCGTTTTAGAAAAATAAATTTATGATTTTTGGGAGCCCATGACACACATGTTTTCCTCTTTGTTGCCTCACTGCTCGTATTTCAAACAAAAAAGCAAATAAACAAGCGAAGCGATCTTGTCCAAGAGGATGGAATGATGTTCCCAATGTATCGCTTATGTCAGCAACTACTGGTCCTTCGTTGGAGACTCTGAAAAGTTAAATTCCGCTATGCCTCTTTGAAAGTTTCGTTTCAAAACACGCTTAAATTGGGAAGTGCACTATGTACAAACCATACACTCGAATAATAAGATCCTCTATGAACTAATGTGGCTCTATTCTTTTGAAATAATCGAGAGATCGATAAATTATCACATATTTCCGAAAAGGCAACCTTGTCGCGAATGTGTTAGTAAACATGCACTTTAACTCGTCGGTTCGAAGGGAATTCTAACGGGACACCCAACGGATGAATGAGTTGCTCAAATTGGTTGAATACTTAGGGAAAACGTGCGCTTGGTTGGAAACGGTTTGCTCACAGGCGACAAAGGAAAGTCTCTCACATTGTATCAGAAGCTATGCAAAGGACCTATACGAATAGGCATGGAAGAAAAAGACCTTTCTTACCTATTATTATAAATGAAAGCGGTCAAAGCAGTCGAATTGACTAGTCCATAATGGCACAACCGCACAATATTTATTTAGTAGACGGCGGGTTCTCAAAGAATGAAATATCATTGCTTTGCCTCATAATTTCAAAGAGCGGTATAAAACTACGATAAAGGATAACGATAAAGCTCTCGGCGATGATCAGTCCCTCAGGGGTTTGCCATGCATTCTACTTCACTATGCAACGTGGAGAAGTGATTATATGCATATCTGGCCTTTACAATGGCTCGCGATGTATTACCTATGTATTGAGCCAGTGGTTCTACCCTTCCAGACAAGTCTGATACCAATTTGCCTACGCTGAAGGGTGAAAAGCTTGGTGGGTCATGGGCGCGAGGATCGATTCCACGTGTGTGTTGCAGTGCGCCTCCGACTGCTGTGCCACACGCAACCTTACTGAGGTAGAACAACCTAATATCGTTAACGCGTAGACCCGTTTTGTACAAGAAATATAAATTTCAGGTGGAAATTGTGCCTACAAGCAAATCCAAAGACGCTGGATAAGGGATATAAGAAAATTATTAAAGGGAATGAGGTACTAGGATACGCATAATATGTGTGAAAGCTTGTAAACTAGGAAAACTAAAGTAAACTACACTAGGGAATAAATACTATGCCGTCCTCATTTTCGGCAGACGAAATTGTGCAATACAGGTTCTCAATCGTGACTACGAAACAAAATTAAAAGGAACCTCAAGAAAAGGTGTCACGAACTGACGAAATTCTATAGAAACTGCAGCGTATCTATCCAAACATTATTCCAGCCTCAGCTTAACTGCATACGTTGCCGATTTGGGCTCCCTAGATCGATCCCGTTTAGGGGTGATTGCTAATGGAGTTATCGATAGAACTAGCTGAGAGACAGGCGAAACGAAGGACCCACGCGATACGGTGGAGATTGCGCTAGCCCCCAGGAAAAGGTAATAACGCGCTCGTTCCCGTCGCAAAAACCTGAGGCCCGGAGTTTTGCAGATATCTCAGCATCATTGTGGTTGTATCACACTTAATACCCCGCCATGAAAAACTGTAATAGGCAGTAAATAAAAAGTTAACATTATCCAAACATCTTCAATGGAAAGGGTTCATCCTTATTGACCTCCTGCCATGCAAGACCACAGACGCCTTTTTTGACGAGATGATTTCTAGCTCACTGTGGTATGACGTCATGAAATAAAGGAATGGATAGTTAATTCGAACCCAGCATCAGTCAAGATATGGGTGAACTGCCACCTAAATTAGGTAAACTAGTACCGAATTCGTACAGAGTAGTTCAATTTGTGGCATTTCGTCAAAGTGATACATTACGCTTCGTTCATTGCTTGCTGGGCTACATGTAACCCAACTTCATAATCGCGATCAACGGCATATCAAGTTTCAAAACCGAACACGGCTACAGCGGCACATATTCACTATTCATTAGTTCACGCCGTTCACTCTCACTACTCATTTCTTTAGATGCTGCTACTTTTTACGTGCATCAGCATTCTGAATGAATCTAAAGCCATTTGCATGTGAATTTCATCTTTTCGAAAGCTGATTAAGTCTGACAAATTATAACGGGAGGAAGGACGGAATTGCCAAACAAACACTACGGAGCTTGCAAGCAGTTAAAAACGAAGCAGCACAAATCATATTTATCCCCCATAGTGCTTAGAAAAAAATTATACAGCTTTTGTCAAATTTTAGACCCTAACATCGTCTTCCTACAAACACCACTTTTGGCCACTGTTCGTGGTTGAACACATTTGGTGAAAATTTTAGGGACAAGATATCTACATGCTGCTTACCGCTAACGGATGGAAATCCCGGAATCTTCTCGTATGGCAGTACCGTTGGCTCTTCCACCTGATCTCCGATCGGTCCAAGTCCAGAGCCGCAGATTATTCCAACTTTGGCTTGGGCTTTATCGCCCACTTGATTCTTAATGGAGGCGACCACAGCCAGAAGGTCATCATATGAGCGAGGACTATGAATAAAAGCGAATATTGCACGAAAACGTAAATATGTGCGGAAATGTACTTCAGAGTTACTACAAGTTAAATAGGATGCAAATTGAAAAACAGAATAAATAAATGAACGAAATTCAATAATGGGTCTACTCTCATCCCATTTCGCGCTATGCATTCACGTTTATTAAATATTTTTCTTCTCTGGTATCATTCGAAAGCCTCTGGTGAGATACAGGTGACACGATATGACGTATATATGCTAGCTACACTACCATCAGATAGAAAACGAACCCAGAGATTTAAAGCAAAGATAGCCTCATTGGCAAGAGCTGGCAAGGGAATGAGGAGAAATGGCTTTTTAGAGCAGATTAATGACTTACTTGATGGTTTTATGAGGAGAATTAACACTAGACATCACGTTGCTGTTAGCGACGGTGGCAATACCTGCAAACAACTATTCTTTACTAGTTATTCTAATCGCTGGCGATTGTATTTGCTTTGCACGATCAATCGTATGATGAATAGAGGAGGAAGCGGTGAGGTGGGCGGTTTGGTGGGAAGCCAGATGGCGAGCACCACAACCCAGTGTCAGAATCAGTGAATGAGTAGACGAGTAGACAAGACGGCGACCACAACAACTAGCAGCTCTGGACTGAAGTGGTTGCGTGTGTTCGCCGACGGAAAGGTCTGAAAGGTCACATCTTATGCGAGCACTTATTCATATGGCGACGATCAGACGGTCGATATGCCATCGCATAGCATAGAATCCTCTACAGTTGCCGACGACATAAAGGAAAAGATCGCGCGAACAGATGAGTTGCCATGCACAATAGAAACGAAAAAAAAAATCAACAACATATCGCAAGAAAGAAGAAAAAGGAGAGGAAATGTAAGAAGGACTCAGAAAGTAGGACAACGAGTATCGAAGTGGATAGAATCTAAATTTCGAGAACGTTCTTTTGTCAGTACCATGTTAGACGTGCCCAATGGTAGTACCGAACCAGAAGGATACGTGTTTATGCTAGAACCGCCATTTTCTTTGGTTTATTTTTCACTTTTGTCACGTGAGAACTTGTCAAATTGCCCTTTTTCTATGGTATTCGATAGAATTCTTTGGTACCATTGAATGGTGAAAGATGATAACAATGCTAATTTTTTCCCTGGAGCAAAAATATTTCCGTGTTTATGTGTGCGAGTTAGTTCAGTAGAAGGTGTTCGTTTTTTATGATATATAAGTCTGAATTTCAATCTTGCAGCAGTGTGAAGCTCGAATTGTTGTAATCAAACTTTGTACGAGCAATAAGAGCGTAGGTGACGCAGTAGTCGGAAGCGCCCTGCAACACACACATGGGATCGATCCCAGCGTCCGTGGCTCAAAAAGCATTCCATCTCTTTGGGGTAGGCAAATCGGTACCAAATTTGCCTGGGAGGATAGCAGCACTGGCTCGATACATCGGTAGGCCACCGCGAGTTATTGTAATGGCCAGATATGCATTCAATCATCTCCAACGATACTCAATGAAGTCGAATGCATGGCGCATCCCTCAGGGATTGATCAACGCCGAGAGCTTTGTCCTTTCATCCATTGTGAGCAATAAACCTATATGACACCGAAAACAAGACAAAATTAACAAATGTAACAAGTTTATAATGGCCGCGTGTAGCGCAGTGATAATAACCCTGAAATGCACGAGGGTTCGATCCTTCGCCCTCCTCTCACCAACCCTTCCATCTCTCTAGGCTCAGAAAATGGGTACTACACCACCTCCCTTATAGCAGCACTGACTCAACACATCGGTGAGCCAATGCGAATTACTGCATAGGCCAGATAAGCATTCAATTACTTCTAATGATGCATGATGGGGTCGAATGCAACGGATCCCTCAGGGATCCCTTGACCAACGCTTTATCCTTTAACAGGTTTAGAAAAAAATAAAGAATAACCTTAATACGTCAGCGATTAGAATGGTTTGCGTATAAAATGGAGTTCACGCTGATTTTATGGAAGCAGGGAGCTGTACAATTAAATTGGAATACATGAATGAAGTTAGCAAGAAAGAAGCAAAAGCAGTAGAAATAATGCATCTTTGCGAATACAAAGAGAATAACGACGGCAGTACCAATTTACTAATAAATAACGAAGGTGTTTTCCTGGGGTGGGTTCAGTGAGTAGGATGAAGCTTCGGAATTTCAAAAATAAGTCATCACCAGCTACATAAGGATTTGGCACTCAAAGATTATATATATATATATATATATATATATATATATATAAAGCCTTTAAAGACAGAGATAAGTAGCTCACACCTACCCTTGATAACGTTGTGCAAAAACAAGGATAGAGTAACATGAGAGGTTTCGTTGGGCCTGATTAACATCCTGTTAGCTCCGATAACGGTATCCTTTCTATAAGCCCAAGCATTAGCAAAACGGAACGAACGCTTGTTGACCTCGATAAGGGTTCTAGGAAGATTAGCCTTTGACTAAATATTACGAAAATGTCACCCATTAGAAATAAATTTATTTCAATGCTCCATCTGCACTCAACACGATAAATATTTAACGTTTTGTTTTCTGCGTTCTATAATTTTCATGGCAGGTTACTAAGCGAAATACAACCACAACGTTGCTGAGATATTTGCAAAACTCTGGATCGCAGGTGTCTATGGTGGGGAACGAACGCGCTATTGTCCTTTCCGGGGAGTAACGCGTTCGTTCATTTGATTTGCGCTCCCCAGATCAACCCCGCTGACGGGTGATTGCTGTGGCAAAAAGATCGATAGAGATAGCTGAGAGACAGGCGAAACGAAGGACCCGCATGGTGTGGTGGTGAACGCGTTACTCCCCGGAAAGGACAAGAGCGCGTTCGTTCCCCACCATAGACACCTGCGGTCCAGAGTTTTGCAAATATCTCAACAATAAATATTATCAAGAGCTCGACTTGCATGCAGGGAAGTCAACGAAATGAGCAGCTTGGCTTGAGAGACGCGCAGAATAATGAAAACGACCTGCGGAGCTTTCCATTTTATCGAGAATTTGTTGTAAACTGATAACACTGGACTCTGTGCTTGGCTTTCCCACTCAACTACCATTAATACGTCAATGTACGCGTCGGAAGCCTGGTTGCTGCGTAAGCAAGATGAGTGATCACTAAAGGCAATTTAACCCGCAGTAGCGAATGTGACGCTGAGAGTATCTCGAATCACTTAAACGAGAAAGGGAATCTGAATCTCCAACCAATATTAACGACAAAGAATCAGAAGCCCCGTTGTATACGCCAAATTATCGAAGAGGAGGTGATCTGGACACGTAATGCGTCTGAACAATAACTGATGGATAAGAGCGCTTAGCAAGAAAGTCCTTAGATGAAACAGAACCTACTGGGCTACTCTCGAACACGACAGCGCAAGATGGAGAGTTTAAGAACGCCCACTTGAATGACTTGACGGGTGATACTGTAACAATGAGCGGTACTGATATCTGAATACCATACATGATAACAGCACTATCTTGAGGGGTGATACTGTAAAGACGAAGAAAACTGATACCTGGAGAGCATATATCATGGCAGTGAGGATTCATGATTGATTTGAACTCGTAATTAGCTACTAAACAGAGCCTGTGTGGGATCGCCTGTAATCTTAAAACAAAACGTGGTCGGTTTTGGAAACTAGTCAAAGAATCGATAAATAGCTGTACAACGCGCTGTTGTTGCCCCTCATCAACGTTTGTTTGACCAGCAAAAACTATTGTTTAACGTACTCCAGACGATAGGCATTTATCAAATACTATGCGGACTCCAGCAGTTCCCACCCTTGTTTCGGTGACTTCCCCAGTCATTCGCAGATATAGTCGAGTTAGTTTTCAGGCTTAGCTGCAACTTGAGAGTTTCGCTCCTTATAGGCAAGTTGAACGTTGGTTGAACGTCTCCAGGCCATCACAAAGAGTAATCGTTGACCCCTTCGAAGTGGAGGGAGATCTGCTTCCTTGTGACTCGCATTCTTCCAGGAGAGCAGCGATCCTTGTGAACTTGACGAATCGACTGACCGCTCCAGTACGACATTAAAAAGCCTCCTAGAGCATGTTCCAGAAGGCAGAGGAAACCGCAAATTGTTTAACTTTCTAAATCTGAGCGAACATATTTTCAAGTGAAGTCATAAGACTGTGATGATTTTACAAATAGTACACAAAAATTCTCATTCTATATTACGAAACACAAGTCCACTAGAATTTTGCGACTCATTTTCTGTCCTTCTCATCGATGCCCTATTATAGAACGAGGCATTAGACAGCGATATTACCTCCATCAGCACATGATTGTGTCGTGGAAATCAAAGTTCATATTTGAGGCTGCCAGTCCTACGTAAAAATTTTAAAGTTCTAGTTTTTCGAAATTTTGATGATTTACGAGAGTGATATATATCTACATATATACGAAGAAAAAGAATGAATTGTTCTCGTTCCTAAATCGCTTAGGGGTGCGTCATTCAGCCCACTCCATTCGTGGTAGCATAGCAGAGGTGAATGCATACATGTTTGGCCCAGATAATGACTTACGATGACCCATCAATCTATCAAGTCAATATTTTCCACATTCGTGAGCTTTTACGATGCCGTGACCGCTAAGTTTTTGGTCCTGCTGACTTCTTCAAGCTCGCAATGATTCGAGCCGATTGTCCATAACCGTTCTTTCCTTCCATATGAGACGGCGCAGTCGTATCGAGACGAATCCAGTAGAGTGTGTTCGGGGATAACACACTGACTTGATACATAGCTAGTTTTCCGAAATTCATTTTATAAGCTAAACGCACAATTAATTCTTTACGATATTTGATGAAATGGAATGGATGACGCATCCCTATGCGATTGAAGAAGTCCTTCACAGCACCCTAGATAAAAGGCGATATATTTCCAATGAAGATCTCATGCATTCATTTCTTCAACCTCCTCTGGAAAAATTGTCGGCAATTGTTGAGAAATCATCACCATCAAGGAAAATATGCCCTGAATCTTATCCGGACTAGTAGTTACAAAATGCTACTGAACAGGAGAACCTCGTTCATACTTCTTAAGAATTTCATAATTTCATACAGTTCTTAACTGTTTCTCAGAAGTTATTGAAATGACCTTACAATAACAGGAATCGTGAATACGAAGAAAAATCTAGCAATGATGGAGAGCAGAGAATAGAATAGAACAGAGGATGTTTTTACTAGGAGATTCGCGTGGAGAAGAAAATTATGGCGAAGTTCCTGATTGAATTTGATTGATTGACATAGGACCACGATGGCATGAACACCATACATAAAAAATAGCTGCAAAGTTCAATCAAAGAACACTTAGACGAATAACGCTGTCTCTACCACCGCTATCTAATTCATGGTTCTAAACGAAACCTAACTATTGAATAAAAGCGTTACTTTTGATTCAAAACAGTAACATGATGATACCTTAGTGGAAATGGTATGCGAAAGCTGCGAAAAGATGGAGATGCGAGAAAGTCAGCTGTAATCAGTCAGGGCTCATCGATGTTGGAACTCAATTATTCAAATATTCGACTTATGTTTAGTGCACCTGCCAAGGGTTTAGGGCTGCATCGTGGCTGTGAGGTGTTCTTGGGCGTCGGACTGCGATATACAGCGGGGGTATCCGTCCCCTTGGTAGAGTCTCTCAAACTGAGAAACAGTCCGGTGTTTCTATCAGGAAGCCTAGCCAACAGTAAGCCAATACTAGGATCCAACACCCTCCTTGTATGAAACTAGTCGCATAGTGGCAAGTCTTCCTCTGATCCACAAGAGCCGGCGACTGCCTGTAGTCGTGAAGGTTTGGGGCAGACTTTGGCTAAGCTGACCTCGGGACACCAGGGAACCACAATGTCTAGACCAGCAAAACTCCGAAAAAACGGAGATTACGAGGGGCCCGCACAAACAGTAAAGACGGGCCATCCAAGCTTGCAAGTAAGTTTAGTTTTCTTACAACGCTGTTTCGTATGTGTTTTGTAGTTGTTTTCCGTTTTGAGAAAAGCCATCGTTCATGAGGAAGATTTCTGAAAAAAAAAATTCTATAAAAGAGAAAACTGCTGCTGAAGATGTGAATCGTAAACGAAGACAACCGGAAGAAATCCCACATTAACATAATTTGGCACAAAGCAAGAAAAAAATCGGGATGTGTTCTCAAAAAATTCATAAAACAATCTTGGCACACAACGCATCATGGAGCTGAGGGAATGTCAACGTAACAGAGTTTTAGAAGATCCCTGCTTTAAAGACCTAGAAGTATATATACTACCTTTCAGTGTATTTTACCATAGTCCTGAATTAGGTTGTGGGCTGAAGCAAATTACTGTGGACACCAGGCAGCATTCCGCAGCCAACAGATGCACATGTCGGTGACAAGCAAAAATGCGACATCAGTACGACTGGAAACGGAAAACGAGTGAATCATTCGTCAAAAGTTAGATTCATGTGCATGACGTATGAATGGTGCCGACTTTTTTTGGTAATTTCCAGTGATTTTCGGTAACAGGAGGACTTCACAGCTCGAGTAGTTGAGAGAATTGTGGAACGGATTTTATACTGTCACTGAGTGTATATCTGACGATGTTAGAACACAGAACAGAAATGAACATTAACCGCATGCACAATGAAACTTACAGTGGAGAAGCTGGAAATGTGGAGGACAATGTGAAGGCTACACTTCTTCAAATGGAGGAGTTTGAAGAGTGTGAATCTGAGAAAGAAGGCGAAGGTCTTGATGACTATATCAGGAGTACTTGGCTTTTCATTATATTGCTTCACAACCACTGGGTATTCGACGACGGTCAATGTGATGTGAATGCGCAGTATTTACTTTTATCCACAGATTTGGCGGATTTCAATGAGTTATTTGTAGTTAGTCGACATATGTGATATCAATGTGCTGGAGACGAGGAGATAACAACGACAGAAGGATTTGTTGTGCGAAACGGCGGTGCTCATAAGATAAAAAGAATAACCATTCTCTGCCCTGAAATCAAAATTTCTAGACTGCTATAGTTGAGAAACTGAAGTTCTAATCTTGCTCTTGCATATCACCACCATTCCATGTGACAAGAACAGGATTTGAATTGTTCGCTGATCTCAATTTTATCTGCAAAGCAATGCCTGGCGGAACAATTTGTACAAGACTGGGATCAATAAATGTGGAAATCGAATCAGGCAAATCAGTAACAGGTAAGTAAAAAAAGGGTCTGAAGAAGGTGATACTGCCGAGGCGCCAGATTTAGCAGAATTAAGGATATACTAACACTTTGTATTTCCTCAACAAGAATATCGAGAATTATATGATCACAAGGACGCAGTGGTCGGAGGCGTCCTCCAACACAAACGTGGAATCGATCCCGGCGCCGTGGCTCACCAAGCCTTCTATCTCCCCAGGGCCGGAAAATTAGTACCGGACTAGTCCAGGAGGATAGCAGTAACACTGGCCCCATACATCGGTAGGCCACAGCGTGACATTGTAAAGGCCAGATATGCATTCAATCACCTCCAGACGATGCTTAATGAAGTCGAATGCATGGCACATGCTTCAGGGATTGATCAACGTCGAAAGCTTTATTTATCCTTTTACTCCTTGATCACTGCCGTGGTTAACAAAGTCGGTAGTGGGAATTACTAACCTCAGTAGTAGCTGCTACATAACATGTAATCTTGGAAAGCACTATGCACTGAGAAGTTTCTGAAGCTGTTTAGCAGTAGAATCGTGTTTCACCATTGCGCCTTACATAAGAGGGCAGCATTTGATGGGCTACTCTTACGTAATAATCGTATAGCACAGCATAACGAATGGTTAGAAAAAGTGGGGCAAAAAACCATTTGCAAAACAGTGGACCACTGAAAAACACGCAGCGAGTGGAACACACTTTGTTTGTTTCTCTCATCCCCAATAGATACACTGTAGAATGCATGCCGGAAGTTATGTGCTAGGTGGCTGAACAGTATTGTTTTTGGACGAGTAGTTAAGCAGCCAGTCATTATTTTCAAATGAAAGCCCACGAAATAATATTTATTTAAAGTATAGGAGACCAGGTCCAAATTTTAGCCGCTTGTGTGGTGAGCCCTCATGTAACTCATTCAAAGTCAAAGCACTTACGTACTATTTTTATAAATCCTTCCTATCAATGAAAGCCTTTGCGCTTTTCTGTTAGTGCAACAGGCGATTAATTCCGTGGGATTCGTGCGGGATACCGTTTCTACTAGCACGCTCCTCAAATGTTACACTCCAGCAATCGTTGTACCCACTCAGCAGCAACAGTCTGTGACGCCCGGCCATATAGCCCTTTTCCACTTCCAAGCTCCTTTGAAAGGGTTCCCAACGAAGCCAATTTTTCGATAACTGGCGAAAAATTCTTGATCACAGGATTATTTCAAATTTAGAGCTCTATATACTGATAGAAGGTACTTTGCTCTATAGAATTAATCACATATGAAACTTTTATACAGTATTCTTTCGAATTTAAATGTTTAGAATAGAAAAGTCCAGAAATTGATAATTAAATTTAACTTTTAAAATTTCCAGCGAAGGATTGGCGCCTTAGAAAGGAAGTTATTCCTTGTGGAACAACTGGCGCTTTACTGGATGAATTCCCATTTGCCTTTTTTTTCGAAATATGAGCAAAAGCAAAGAAGTGAAAGAATATGTTATGGGCTCCTGAAATATGATGTCATCGTGGAGAAATGAAAGAACTTTCATCCTGTAGGGAAGGATTTGTTAATCGTAACAGCTGTCAACAGCCCTTAATGTAATTCGCTATAAGCTGATATAGTAGATGTACGTTGAAAGCACTCATTATTTTCGAACTGTACGACTCCTGTATAGGTCACGTTGCAGCGATTATGCATAACTAAGTTAATTTCCTTTTATTTACTGCCTGATCCTTTTCATGGTAGGGTATGTTGTTAAATATAACCACAATGATGCCGAGATATTTCCTAAACTCCAGACCGCGGCTGTCTGCGATGGGAATCGAACACGCCATTACCCTTTCCAGAGGCTAACGCGTTCACCACCATACCATGGAGGTCCTTGATCTCACCTTTCACTCAGCCGTATTTTCTGCTGACAGCACCTATAAAATGCCGCTAAGAGAAAGACTAAACGAAGAACCCGCATGGTGTGGTGGTGAGAACGTTAGCACTCGTAAAAAGTAATAGAAATGTTCAATCCACACCGTAGTCACCTGACGTTCGGAGTTTTGCAAATATCTCAGCATCTCGTATTTAAATTGAGTTTGCCAAAAGCTCGTTTAGTTTTTTTATCAATTGCTATGCGTAGAGAACAACTTTGCCCAGCATGTGGCACATCACCATCGTTGCATAAGAAATAGCATGAAAACAAAAGCTGTATTAAGAATGCCTTGTTCGAGAGAATAAATACGCAGAAATATGATGAGTCGTAATATGACTCAATGCCAGCAGCGACGTAACAGATGAAACACCTGCATAAAAAAGCTCTAAAAATGAGATAAAAATAATTATCTAGGAATTCCCAAGTCCGACTTTCTGTTAACCTCGGCATTGATTGAATATATCTTTCTACTTCTGTTCAGCAAACACGAGGTGCTATTTTATTTCTTTATTTACGCACAAGCTGACGTTTCGGCGGATTTCGCCTTCCTCAGAGCCGCTTTCTATGAGTTTTCCACTGAGTATGTCGAGTGAAGACCGACCCCACCAAATTCACATGGAAACGTAATGAGGTCTCGACGTTGCAGCTTCGCCTTCGTGTCGAGTTAGGTCTTCCTCAGTGAACCATCTTCTCGAACAACAAGCATGGACCATCGACTCGGATCACCGGCTCTGAGGAAGACGAAGATGTTGAAACGTTAGCCGATAATAAATAAATATCATTGTCAACCTCGTGTGATCATCTATTTTTTAGACTAGAGTGCAATTTACTTAGAGCATAGATAGGATACACCAGCCACGCGACCACTAAGGTAGAAGAAAAGGTTTCAGAAGGTTCTATCACTATCACAAAAGTTCTATCACTAGAACTATTCAGAAAAAACATGGAAACAAAATATTGTAAGTTGTAATTTGTATGAATAAAGTAAGAGCGAAATGTTCATGCCCTTGTGGTAATTGAAAATTTTGGCGCTGGCAAAAGGGCTCGGGTCGGTGGCTGTTTAAAGGTCGCTGGAAATGTGTAGACATTGTTGGGCGCTTAGAACTATGGCGCTTTTCAAAGAAGAAAGACCAATTCCCTTGATCAGAAAACGAGGAATCACGGTATAAGTGACTGGCACTTCTTCTTGCCAGTATGACCAGTTTTTGCTTCATAGAGACTATTCTCTACCTTGCTGAGTAGCTGCAACTAGTTTAGCAGCACCGCCCGATAACTCGATCTTTCGACATTCTCCATCTTGCTTAAGCACTAGCAGCGTCACCCCATTTGTTTGCATAGTGGTGGTACCGCCTCTATCACCTTCGTTCTTTCTCTCTTGAAATAAGCTTCAATTGTCGGGCTATTTATTCGCACAGGCTGTAGGTGCATCCACACTTCATATCTCATGAGTGTGGTGCATAAGCCATTATAATACTCTTGAGGCGTTTTGAATAAATTCCAAAAATCCAAAGATAAACCGGAAAGACGAATGCCTCACTATCACGCGTGACCTGGCGTCCTATTTCAAAATGATATTTTGACCCCGGGGGCGTGTCTTGCTCGCGACTCCACGAAAACAACGCGTGGGCCAGTCCCGTACGTAACATCACGGTGAGTGGCCTTTCTGTTCAATATGGCATCTATTTGAAAGTTTGATCTTCACTAACACTTTAACCTTTTTTTCCACCGAATAATAAAAAAGTTCTAATATAAAACATGTCCAGGCTGTGAGGAAGGCGAAGTCGCCGAAACGTCACCCATCGATCAATAACAACAAAAACAACGACAACGACAACGAAGATCTGTACCAACCTCGCGTCAGCTTAAGAAGATCAGTTTATAAGATCACATAAATAAATATATCAACTATCTATGCCGAGGTTTATAGAAAGTCGGTCTTTCGCATTATATTACTGCAAATGCATCTCTGCTATGTTCTCGCAGTTTCCGTTTGCTCCAGCTGGTTACACCTTCATCTCATTAGTACACTCTTAATTTACATATGCAGTAATTTTATGATGGCTTCCTAGCCACTCGTAACACACCATAAAATTACTGTAGTAAGCTCTATGTTATTATACGTTCACCAGCCATCCGCCTACGCCACTCCACATAACGCGCATGTACTTTTAATCTTGTGGAATTTCTCACTGTCGTGTTAATATTATTTATAAAGATTCAATTAAACAAGTTTGAGATTATGCTGCCTCACCCAAAAAAGACCTCGCCTGGGAAGCCCAAACAGAAAGGACAACTACACGAACTTACAAACACATCACTCACATTCCTCATTTCCTCCGTAACCGCTTGAATCCACTCCAAAACTTTTCTATTACCGGTTTACACTTCGTTTGAGGTATGTATTGTACTGGCTCATGGATTCCTCCACTTAAAAAAGAATAAAGCGTTCGACGTCGACCAATTTTTTGAGAATGCACCCGACTTCCTTGCACAGCGTAGAGATGGCTGAGTGTATATTTGGTCTATAAAGCAATTTCCAGTGTCACCTGAAACATCTATGACAGCATGGCCAAGACAGAACCCCATTTATGTTGCCCTTCTTTAGCGGTGAAGCAAGTGTAGCTATAAAACGATGCTTAAAAAGGAGGTCTACAGGAATCAGTAGCAATAGCTGAAATACCACCCGATACTTTTCGTCGTCAATTAGTTCGGAACCGCCTTTATGACCGTCTATGCGAAAAACAAAATTGCATAAATTGCCCTTTTAGCTGATGCGGTGACTGCATGAGTTCACTTAGGACAT